CTATATATATAACAAACAAATACACACCAGTGAAACCAAACTTCTCCTATAGGTAGGGTAGTGCCCACTATTTTGGTGTAGATTTCTAGATCAAGATTGTCTTTTAAAAAAGCCACCACATAAGGGTGAAGTAGAGCCGGGTATGGAGGTGGGGTGGGGGGAATGAGTGAATTGTAATGAATCTGAATGGGCATAGCATGTTAATGTTATCCAGAATCATAATGCATTGGGATTGGAGGGGGGGGAGGGAGAAAAAAAGAAAGGGCCAGAGTAATGTTTGATGGTGGGGGGTGTTGGTGAGACTGGGTGTTGCAATGATACACTACACATACGAAGTCTGTATCCACAGGCGTTTACTTTTAGACACAGAGAGATTACCGATAGCAAGATCTGATTCCAAGGAATATTCACATTGACAGGAAATGGAAATTTATAGATCTATAATAGTCTTAGATATCGGATCGAGGCCTCCGAATGCCGCCCAACAAACGCTCATAAATGTGTCACAAGGCCTAGAATCTAGAATCTACACATCTAGATCTAGATCTAGATTCTAATATAGATCTAGATCTGTGTCACCAAAGAATGGCCCACTTCAGCAGTCAGCGAAACGGTGGACACTGGCCCTGGGTTTAGGATTTGACAGAAACATTTCAAACAGTACACCAATAAGTATAACTAGATCTAGATCTAGATCTAGATTCTAGATCTCTAGATCTAGATATAGATCTAGAATCAAGATCTAGAATCTAATATCTAGATCTAGATCTAGAATCTAGATCTAGATCTAGATTCTATATCTAGATAAAATATAGATCTAGATATAGATTTAGATATAGATATCTAGCCAACGTCCAGAAGTCAAGCTAATGTAAAATCAGACTAGATCTAGATCTAGGTCAAGATCTAGCCCTGAATCACATTTGTAATAGTTCACGGGAAATTGTCAGTACTTAGTCTGCTCAGTAGAATCAAGACTAGCCTAGAGAACCAAACCACTCACTAGGCAAGACTCTAACTACTAGTATAGCCTACTCCTGTGCCCTCCTGACCTCCTGTGCTAGATACTAGATTACCGAGTAGCCGTAGCTTGTAGAGCGGTAAACAAATAAAAGCAGTAAAAAATAAATTCGAGGGCTGGCTCCTGAACAGAGATTATAATAATTTTAATACTCACCATGAACAATTAATAAATATTTATTGATAGAATCTAGAGTATTCGTCTTAATAAACAAACACTACGGAATAACGTTTTAAAAACAAAGAATGTCAGTTCGCCGGCACTGAACTACACCATGTAGCAGTAATCCAAGTCCTGAGTGAGAAAAATTGATCCCACTCGCTACTCACCTAGTTTCAGTACGACAGGCCGTCGTTTGGGGAGTGGAGCGGGTCGAGCTCCGGGAGCAGTGAAGCGCTCTGAAGCAGACTGCGGAATAGAATAAACTGCGAGAGAGAACTGAGAACACAGCAGACAGATCTTCAGCTCAGGGTCCTGGACGAGTGCGTGTTCATTCGTTGGCAGCGGTGTCGTCCTACTTCTGTCTCTCTATTCAGCCCATTTATTTATCTCCTGTAAATCTATGGTTTATGGTTCAGCCGCAGAACATGCATTGCTTGGGAAACAAGTATATAGGCTAGCCTTCTTGTTGAGGGTAGATACTGTGAAAAGCGCGATTTTTTACTTGAATTGCGTTTCAATAAAATGGGCAAGTTGTCCTCAGGCTACTCTAAAG